CAATTCTGTAAATTTTAAATTTTATATTTTAAATTCCTTTTTTTTTGCTTTATTTGTTGTGTTACTTTGTTCGCATATGCTTATTGTACCTAAATTGTAAAGATTGCATATTACATTGAAAAAAATGAAAACAAACTATTTTAAATKATATTAATTATTTCTTTAAAAATAAATAAGYAAGATCTATATTACAAAAAATATCCGTATAAACTATAAAAYAATGGAATAGAATRTTTTTTCGTTGTAWGCMGATTTAATTGATATAGAGCTAGGTAGTACCATTGAGTATAATAGGAATAATGTGTCTCATGAAGAAGCATCCAGCAGGCGTCATATAATAGTATACGTTAATTTATAATAAAAAAACTCATAAAATGGTGGGTTTATGTTTTGTATTTTTTAGTAATTGGCTATTCAAATTAATATGAGATAAGAAAAATGTACGGATGATATAAAAAATTTTGAAGGTACTTCAATTGCGATGATCGATTCTTAAATATATATAAATGTAAAAAATATTGTTTCCATTCTAATTGAAGTAAATATAGTCAAATATTTAAATGGAAATTCAGATATATTAGGATGTGTACAACGGATAAGCTACCACTACAAAAAAAAAATGTATGAAGCATTTAAATAAAAATCTATAATTATAAATTATATCTAAACTTTTTAATTTAAATTAAATTTTTTAGAAAAGTAAACGTTGACATCAAAATCGAGACAAATTAAAAGTTAATTTAAAATATATTAATTAACTGTACTATAATTTTACTTATCATTATAAGCTTCACTAATTAAGGCTATATCTACGTTAAAACTTAATATTATCTCTTGATTTCATTCTATATATTACATTCCTAAATCTACTATGAAGTATGGCATTGTAATATGRGGTTTTGCTATGTACTATAATAAGAGAATCATTCAAGCTTTCTAAGATATCTGTCTTTGCTTAATCACCGAAAACCGAGGCTCCGAAGTCCCTGCCTTGTTTCCCTTAAATATCTGTCCAATGAATGAAACTACTAGGTACGCTCTTTTAGTTAAGTGCGAGAATAATATAAGTATTCAAATTGTAGTCTTTATTTAATGATAAATCAGATTGCTGATTGTTTAAGATTTTAAGGAAAAAAAGTCCAATATTTAAGGAAAAATGTAAATTAATGKTTATGAATTAAATAAGAATTACATGTATTCTGAGTAAAACATGTGATATCAATATKTGTTTACTGTATTTATTTATTGCATTTAATACAATATATACATCGGAAAACATATTTGCATAAGATAAATTTTATTCGAGTATAATATGATTGTATTAAATTATTGAAAATATTATAAAATGGATTATATTATACTAAACATTTTGAATCATTATGCAAAAGCATTAAAGCAAAATAAAATTTGAATTATTGAAATTACGAATACATTTATTTTATTGTCTTCTTTACAAAATATTCGTGGTAAGCTTTTACAGTTCATAACATCCAATCAGACCCTCCTCTATACTTGTACGTACATTTTAATGTACTATGTATTTATTTTCCCCTTTTAATTTATTTCCTTAACAGAAGTTTT